AAATCCCCCCTCTTTTCCAAAGCAAAAAAATCCCCCCTTAGCCCGGGGGGGTTTTTTCGGAGGCCCTTTGGGGGGCCCCCCCGGTTTTGGGGGGGGAAGGGGGGGCCTTCCCGGGGGGGTTTCCATTTTTCCCCCCCCCCCCCCCCCCCCCCCCCCCCCCGCCTCCACCTCCGGTCTGCTTCCTGGCGCATCATCATGCGACTTTCGAGTCTCAACAACATGCACTTCGCTTGCAGCTATGCAGTAGGCCTCTTCCCGGCTCCCCCATGCCCCGCCTCGCCTTCATGTTCGCTTGGCATACATGTTGACCCATGCTCGCGAGTCGAGCCCGAGTTGACGTTCGGGCCACAAGGAAATGACTTGGCGCGACCAGACCGATCCGCCGACTGGCACACCACAACAACCGACGAGACCGGTCACCTAGTATCAATATCTACCAGAGCGACAACAGCGTCATCACCTACGAACTGCCTGCGCGTATTGCTAAACGATCACCGTCGGAAGACTCGACCATGTAGCAACGCCGACACCACAGGCCACCCACCACGACTGTATACCTAGGTACCTTGGGACAGCAAGCTATACTGCCGTGCCACCTCGGTCCCGTCCTGCCCTTCTGCAGCTGTCCCATCGATCAGGCAGTCTAGACTGCCAGTACAAGCACAAGCATGGCTGATCCATGTCCCTTGTCCCCTGTCCCATGGTCGACGTGCCATGTCTGACCCTCTGCGCTGGTAACTGGGACAACGTCTCTGCGAGTGCAGAAATGTCTGCATATCCTTCATACCTTGTACAGACTTGCATTCTGTCGCTTCACCCTGGTCCGCAGAGTGCTGCCTCTCACCTACGCGGCTTGAGCTGACAGACGGCAGCAACCTGCTCCGAGGAAGACGTGGGAGATGTGGTCCCTTGCCTTGTGTAGACGCAGCGGCAAAACTGTTCTGCAGACTAGCGACAACTTGGCACGATGTATCATGATCTCGCAACTCAGGCCTCGACAAGGGAGGGGCTGAACGCTTCAGCTTGATGCCCAGGGGTCCCATGCGGCCGAAGGAAAAGGTGGGCTCCTCGCAGAGCTCCCCTCTTTTCGCCTTGCGCCAGCGCCAGCGCGGAGAAGCAGCACCAGTCGATGTGGTGATTCCTGTTTTGCTTCTCGCATCCCCATCGGAGACTGATGATTCAGTCAGCTTGGTGCTTTCAAGCCGCTTTACATCATTCCGGTACATACGTGCTAATCCTATTTTTTTCACAACTCAACACGCCCCCAATCGCTCGCTGCTGAGCACACATGTACCTCCTATCTCTCTCTCTCTCTTTTGGTCGCCTTCCAGCCTTGCACATGCTGGCGGCCTGCGGGTTCTCCAGAAGCCTGAGTTCCTTTT